TCGGTGTTTTCTCAGGTGATCGATAGCTTAAAATCTTGGCTATCTTCAAAATTAAATTTTGTTCAGAAAGAATGGTATTAGTCCTAGCATTTTCATTAATTTGACTGGCAAAAGAAGCAATCCTTTGAATTTCAAGTTTTCATAAATGAGCAGCCTATTCTTCGTGTTTCTGAGACCATGTTTTTGGGTGTTTTATTAGATGACAATTTGACCTGGAAATCGCATATATCCTTAACAGCAAATAAATTATCCAAATCTATAGGTATTATTCATAAATCTAGGTTTTTTCTCTCTACTCACTCCCTTCGTACTTTATACAATTCTATGATCCTTCCATATTTGCATTATTGCAGTTTAGCTTGGGCTGGTACCTATAAGTCAAACCTTCAAAGAATTGTAACCTTACAGAAACGTGCGTTAAGAATAGTAAGCAATTCTACATACATTGCCCATACTGGCCCTATTTTTAAGGAACTTAAACTCTTAAAATTTCATGATATCGATTCGTTTCAATCAGGTACTTTTATGTTTTCATTTGTGAACTCTACACTCCCTTCCAAATTCAATAACTTTTTTTTTACTGAATAGTCAAATCCACAATTATAATACTAGGAATGCTCAGTCCTTCCGCTTGCCACTGTGCAGAACGAACACCAGGAAGTTTTCAATTTACTTTCCAGGTCCAAACTTTTATAATTCGCTAAATTCTGACATAACTAGTTCTCCCTCCTCCGCTTCTTTTAAAAGAAAGCTTAAGGAATTTCTTCTCTCTAGGTATTAACTTCTGTAAGGCAGTAATTCTTAACTAACTTACTTAATATGTGTGTGCGTGTGTGTGTGTGTGTGTGTGTACGTGTGCGCGGTCAAAGTTAATTACCATAAGTCCATATTGTAATTCTAATATAAGATTAGTTATTTTAAGTGAGAAAGCCTGACTTGTTATAAGCCTCGTGGTTTCTTTCAGGTTTTCTCGCCATTTATTCTCTGTCATCAATTTCTTCATTTTTTTTTTCCATCTGTAAATGTCGTATATGGCAAAATAAATATTGTATATTGTATTGTATATATTGATTGTTCCGTTAGTATCTCGCGCACTTTAAGGATTCTTCTTCGTTCGATGGTAACTTTAGTATCTCGTGCACTTCTAAGGTTCTTTTTCATTCGATTGATGCGTTGGTAGCTTAGGAACTTAAAGGATTCTATTTCATTCGATTGTTAAATTAGTATTTCGAACACTTTTAGGATACTATTTCATTCGATTGTTACGTTAGAATTTCGCGCACTTTAAGGGTTCTCTTTCATGCGATTGTAACTTTAGTGTATCGTGCTCTTTTAAGGTTCTCTTTCACTTGATTGCTCTGTTTTTAAAAAATAAATTGATGAGCAGCACTATGCAAACAGTAGTTGTAAAACTTCTTCATTCTCTCAGCGTTTCGTCTAACTGTCGTAGACTTCTCCAGGGAGTTTTACAAGTCAACGTTAGCGGCCATGACTGTGGCCGATGATCATATATAGGCTTCGCCGAACTTACGAAGTTTGACAAATTCTGAAAATTTTATAGGCAGGGTGAGGAAAAAAATTGGGGTCCACGGTTTCAGCTAAGCATCGTATTTCATTCGATTGTTAGGTATTTTGGCCCTTTTAGGTCTTTCATTCATTGGATTGCTACGTTACTTTCTCACGAATTTGTAGGGTTTTTTTGTCGTTGGATTGTTACGATAGTATTTTGCTGACTTTTAGGATTCTCTTTCATTCGATTGCTACGTTAGTATTTCACGACATCAAAGATTCTCTTTCATTCGATTCTGGTAATCGGGAGAGCGAGTTTTAACAACGTTGCTGCGCTAATTTCGGACCTCACTTCTCTTATTCAGGGCTTTCAAGGCGCGATTGCATTCAAATTTTTGCGCTTTTAGTGCACATGAATAAATTATGTCCGGGCATTCTGTGCGATACATTAGATGCTTTTGCATGCGACAGAAGCATGACTCTATTTAGACAGATTATCTAGCAGAGCAATTCGTAGGCGCTGCTTAAATACAAGCCAACCAAGGTCTGAGATAACCCATAAGAAGGTAAAAGTTCGACTTACAGAGGAACTAGCTATTGGAAGTCCAATGCTTGGACATGTTTTTGTTATTTGACGGTAAAATAGGAGACCAAGTGACATTTAAAAAAAAGAGTATAGTATTGGCACACTGAGGGATATATTGTCTGCTCCACAAGTATTAGCAGCAGGCTGCGTTGATAAAACTGTACGGTGCCTGTTGGAAAAAGAACATCTCTGCCAATTATAACGTGTAAGAAGGGCTCGACTCTCAATCCTCGCAGAAGGGTGTTTGAGAGGTTTAATGACACTAGGAACTCAGGACTTCTTTAGAAAAACAGAATAAGATTTACTGTTTTCACCGAGCGAAGGAGCGCTTTCAGAATACCAAAACTTAGTTTATGAGCGAGTAATTTCGCTAACAGACGAAATTGGCCTTCCTTGAACTTAGCCTTTACAATCCCCCCAGTGGTAAGCAGATTACTTGTCCTTTGGATTACACCATTTACACGGATCATCTTGTCTAATACGTTCAAGTTTCACTACAAAGCTAAGTAATAAATGTATCATTTTTTCTATCCATTTGTGTCATAAAAAAATAAACGAAATAACTAGTACAGGAGTAGGCGGTACAAGATCGGTTTTGAAAAAACTTATCTCATACCAAGCCAGCTCGTAGTATCGTTGAGTATTTTTACGCGTTGCTTGTATTTTGACTCGCCGACGGGCTTGCCAGAATACGGTACAACTCGTAAAAATACTCAGCGATACTACACACCAAAACGTCAAGTAAGATATATGTATTTTTACGAGTCGTGCTGTATCTTGACGGGCCCGTAAAGGCGAGTTTAAATGCAGGCAACGAGTGAAAGTACTCAGCGATACTACACACAAAAACGTCTACTAAGTCATTCTTTATCCAACTGCCCAATTATTTATGTACTTATCGTGAGGCGGGGAAAGCGAAGCAAACAGAGAAGCGGTTTACGACAGGTCTTGTGTAATGCTCTCGTTGGATTGTCTCCAGAGACGTCAACTTGTTCTTAAGGTTTCAAAACGATTCAAAGTTGAATTTTATTTCCGATTGTAGTTCTCAAATCGTACACATTTGAAAGTACTGAAAGTGTTTAAAGCGTATATATTTTAAATATATCTTTTTTTCTTAGCAAACATATTAGTAATGCATTTATAACTAAAATTTTAATGTTATCGATATATGTAAAAAATACAGAATTATAGATTCTATTGTAAATAGATTTTACCACTTAAAATAAAGATTTTCGAAGTATTAAAGTGTTCGTTTATCAATGAAAAGTGATGAATAATTTTTTGCCAGTAACAAAGCCTGAGTCTACCGGTAGACAAACTCTCAGAGACATGGATGAGCTCTAAGCAATTAAAAAGAATTTATACGGCACAATAGAAGGCAAGTGTAGCCAACCTGTCAAACAGGTTTTTTTTTTATTGTACAAAAAAACGAAATTTATAAATAACCTTAGAATATCGCGGGATATTTTTACTCCATTCTAGCATTATTTGTACTCTACCGCTAGTGCAGTAAAAGATTCTCAGAAATCCGTTAGCCCAATGACTTAACGGCTATCTTTGCCTCGGTATAGCGAGAAACTCTCAGAAAGCCACAACCAGCATGACTTGACGGCTACCTTTGTGTCGGTATAATGGGAGAATATAGATTGTGTATAGTTCACACTGGTACCAGCAACCCCAAAAGCCAGCCCGCACGTGAAATCGCGAAACAGATAGTTGATCTTCGGAAGCTAGTGACAAGATCACAAAATTCAAAGTTGTCACGTGATCGCCTGAATTTCACATAACTCTTTCTTTCACGGGGTGTTACGCGGGTGATCACTTAACTTGCAGGATCCACAGAATAGGTACACAAAAAACTAAAAAAAACAAACATTTTTTGCCAGACTGTGCCGCCTAATTTAAAAAAGCTTGCTTAAGCTACTTCTGACAAGGTAATTTGGTATTATCAACTGAGTTGACAACGTAAATTGGTCACCGTATCGAGTTTCAATGTTGACATTTCTAGCGTTAGCCCTTCGTCAGAGCGAATGGATGACTTTGATGACTTGTGGTTGTCAGTGTCCTGTTATTCAGAAAATGGAGCTTCGCTACTGGTAGGATTATGGTGATGACAAAACAAGAATAAGTTAGATGAATGGAAAGCGCTCGTTGATACCATGGGGATTAAGAGTGCCGATTTGAATGATAAATTTTCGCTCTACAGCTTTGCAGCTTTCCGGAGTACCTAGATGTAGGGAAGGGCTACAAATTGCCATATGCTTCTTAGAATTATTAGGGAGATTTAAGTGTCTACCGACTGGTTTGGATGCGTTCTTGTCATTTCTTTCGAAGTTTCGAAGATGTTATCGGAACTGATCACCTAGTCGTCTTCCTGTTTCACTGTATAACTTTTTGCTATAACTGCAAGTTATGAATTAGATTTTCGTCACCTGCTCTCCAAAAATATTCACAGGAAAAATTTCGAATTTTTTGAAGATTGTCATGTTGCTACACGTTTGAAGTCCCTTACATGTCTCATGTCTCATGCTTTTCTATTACTTCCCACCAAATGGGATTTAAACCACGATAATGCCTTACCTCGCGCGTCAAGCCAAGACTACACAAGTAAACTGTGGTCCACGGTATAAAACGCGACACTGAGATCCAACATGACAAGCAAGATGACGTGGCCTTTTTCCACATTGAGTAAATGTTTTTGTCTCAGTGCTGTGATTCTTTCGATACGCGTTTTGGAGACCAGAAAATAAGCCGTTTACTATCATGTGATCTTGCATTTGGAAAGCTACTGACTTTTCCGTAATTTTGGATGTAAACTGCAAGTTGCTGACCGGACGTAGGGTGCTGATTGACGGGAGTCCTGCTTTCTTAAGAAAAGGGTGCCCTGATGCATTCTTTCAGTCCTCTACAAAGACACCGGATCCACGTGACAGCTTAACAGTTTTGTAATGACAGGGAACGGTTCATCTTGGTCAGACGATGATAGAGGATCACGTGTACAAGTGTTTGTGCTTGAATCAGCAATTATCCGTAACTTCTCTTCAAACAATGGAGTAAATTCAGAAAACTCAATGTCACAACCTGGAGGACTTGTTGGAAAAAGCGAGAGAGCATCATTGATGGTAGAGTGGTTTTCGGCATCTAACTCAGGCCTAATAGCCGTGATTTTGTGAACAAAATGTTCACTCAAGTCATTTGCCAGCGCGTAAGCGTCCGTATGATGGGGTAGAGCCTCATCTGCCCACAAATTCAAAAGGCGTTTACTGACCCCAAAGAGCCTTCCCTGGTTCGAGCTATTATAAGCTATTATTATCAACATATTGCTTGTATTAACCGCGTCTAGAAACATTCATCAATTACAAGGCGTAAGGTCACCTCGCTTTAAATCAGAATTAAGCGTACTGGCTCGCCATTTCTTCTCAGCTCTCCTCCTTTCACGCCTGGCTTTCATTATTGCATCATTCTTGTAACATTCCACAAGTTCCTCCATGATGTCAAGGGGGTTACGACAAAAGCTAGAGTTTCCGAAATTCAGCGTGTTTGACTGTAGAGGCAGGCTTGATTCAGTGAGTAGTTAACGGGGTCATTGTGGCTCCTAACCAATCATAAAGCGCTATTTTGTACCACGTGACCAACGTGGACCAATCAGCGTCTACGACACGTCTTAAGATCTGTAAGATTCTTGTGGGTATCTCCTCTCGATATAGGCTACTTTTGAGATAAAGAACACTTCATCTCTTAATTCTAGTCCTCTTCTATTTATTAGAATACTCTTTGTCATGTTAAGTTCAATAACGAAATCCTGTATGATTTCCAAAATCCTCGACCTCTGTTCCAAAAACATAGGTTATTTAATATGTCTCAATTATCCATCTCGATGCTCTAGACACGAAAAAAGATTGAAATTAAACGAAATTGCCTTGCCATGGGTTCTTGTCTAGTGAATTTGAAATTTATATGTACCGAATCAAAATAATTACATACTGCCTGTGCTATGTAAACTTCTTTTAAACACTTTTCTATATAATGACGATAATCATCGGTCAGATCAGGTGACATTAGACCTATTTGTCACCAAAATAGTCTCCTCAACGGAGCAGTAAAATAATTATCTATATAATGGTTGTTCCAAGATTCACATTGTGAAATGGTGTCTGAAAAATTGTGAAAAATTGGTAAATTAGTTGTCTGTTACTAGAGAAGTCGAAATAAGTATAAGCTATTGAAAAATACTTCTATTTCGTGGGTTGTGATCGTTATTTACTCCTATTTTTACATGAAGTCTTGTTCTTTATGTAATTTCAATGTCGCCATCAATCCAAGCTGTAATTCAACGTGGTAATCTACTTGTCCAGAATTTGTATATGTTAGGATCGAACGTAAGGCTGACTGACTTTCTAATATATCTTGGGGATCAGAGACTGAAAAATTAAAAAAATCGCACACGGTCGTCTTCCCCCTACTCCCCCCCCCCACCTCATTCTCCCTTCCTCCTAATCCTCACAATCTTCCTCCTCCTTCTTCCAAATTTAGTGAATAAAACAAGGATTGAATTTCATTGGCCTAGTCACCAGTTACATAGGCTCCGCCGCCCCCTCCTCCTCGTATTCTTCCTTCTCCTCCTCCCTACAATTCTTCTCCTCCTCACAATCCTCCTCTTCTTCTTCAAAATCCTCCTCCTCCACCTAACAATCCTTCTTCTCAAAATTCTCATCCTCTCTCTCACAATTCTCCTCCTCCATCTCACAATTCCCTTTACCTCACAATACTCCGCAGAATTCTCCTCCTCTCCCTCACCTCCTCCTCTCAATCCTCCTCCTTACAGGTTTTCTCGTATAATCAATCACCTCCATTAAGGTAAGAATGTGTCAGATAAACCGGACTTGTCTAAGACTATTAATTGAATACTCTCCACTGACCCTTTTAAACCACCAACAAAAGACATAGAAACTATGGTAACAAAATCACTTTCCATGAAGGAAGAGAAAAGGGCTAAGCAAAGGGAGTAATTAATATAGTATTAAGAGAAAATAAAAGGGTGTTGGTATGAACGTTACTTAAGGACATGAGACAGTCACCTAGCCTACGAGAAAAATGCTATCAAAAGAAAAATAAGACATCAAGAAATACCACAAAGTCTATCATCTTCAAAATAAAGAAGACATCATTAATAAACAAAAAGAGCACAACTAACAAAATAAAAATCATCAAAAAAGAGAGAATATCGAAAGAAAAAGCAAGATCTCATTCGTTAATAGTTGAAGGACTATCATCAAAGAAATCGAAATCGTCTTCCAGAATAAACGAGGGACCATCGCCAGAGAAAACAAGAAGAAAACTATTCTCCAGCTAAAACAGTCTAAGAGGAAAACTTACACTTTCATAACTCTCTGCGGGTAATATGGTGGTGCCATACTTTTATTCACGAAGGCCAGTCTAAGAGGAAGGAACACTTACACTTTCATAACTATCTGTGGATAATGTGGTGGTGCCGTATTTTTAATCACCAAAGCTATGTAAGGAGTGAGTTGATGATGTCGCACCTTTGCCGTCACTGTCAAAGACCATTCAGCCGTTCAGACAACAGAGACCGTCACGAGAAACATTCGTGTTTGAACCCAAGGGATGACGATAGCCATCAGTCGTCTCTCGGGGTGAACTTTCCTCCATCTATATCTAAAGATTCTGAAACCTCCAGCCAAAAAGACCTATTCTATTCGAGGGAATGTCAAATGAGCGAAGCTTTTGGAGCTAAGACACCCTGTCCCATTCTAATCATGAGACCCTAGCAATTCTAATCGTTGACCTGTGGCTGCGGCAAGGCGTGTTTCACTGAGTCGTTGCTCCTGGAGCATTTAAATGAATTGTTTGTAGATCCTCCTACCGTGATCCATTACTGCTATGGCACATGAAAAAATGGTTTTCGTCAAATGAGAGGGGAACGTATCAAACTTCACGAGAATGTACCTGATCACGGACTGTTGAAAAAATGGTTCACTATGAAAGTTGATTTACTGGTCCAGGACTATCTGATGACCGAAAGAGGAAATGATAAAGAAGTCTTGGTTCTTTTTACCAAACATTCCCATCATTGCATCATAACTGTCACGTACTATTTCCAAAACAAGAGCGAGTGTTTCATCGGGGTATCCAAACACCGAGAAACAAATGAAATGGCCGTGTGCTTTTATTGTTTCGAGGTATTTGGATATCCCCGATGAAACACGAAGCACGAGTTTTGGAAATACCTTCTCATGATCACTCTTAAAGAAATAATAAACAACGACTTCCAATTAGAATTGTTTGCTGTCTAACATTCCTTCATCGATAATTTAAATATCAATGATGTTTTCTACTGGCGCAATTAATTTGTATTTATGGTGTGATTAAATTTATTCTGAAAAGTTGCTGGAGCTGCCAGTATTTAAAAGTTGTCGTTCAGTAAGGATGTATACCGTAACAAAGTCGTTCGAGAGATTTCAGCAGCCGAAAAGTGTGGAGGATGAGGAAAAAAGTGTTTATAATGCAGTACCAAAAGCAACAGCTTATAAAACCAAATGGTTGTTTGAGGTTTTCGAGAAATGGAAACAGAATCGATTAGTGAAGTCCTGTACTTTAGAACCCGGCGGCCTTTTTACCACAAGGAATAAGGAGTACAAACTTTGGACACGGCCATTATAGATAGGTCTGCATGCAGTGTGAACTACTGGGTGTCGAGGTTCGTTCAAGAAGTAAGCAACTCTTCTGGGGAACGCTATACTTCCTGTTCGTTGTGCTCAATCATTTGCGGACTGAAGTTCCACCTTCCTGATATAAATGGAAGTGCTGCATTGAACCCTTGGGACATGTCCGACCGTAGCTGAGTTACATTTTTTGAGGAGAAAATTTGGTTCACGTAAAGTACTTGTGTGTATTGCTGATTTTAATACTTCTTTTTTTTCTTTGCTTTGTTAGGTTTGTGACATTTCGGCGTGTTTAAGATGCAGAAATGAAGGAAGGTACGCGAATGGGTGTAACTTTGATAACAAAAGGAGACGAAAAAGAGGGTATAAATAAGAAAGAACAATAACTATTTTGGTCAAAAGACTATTTGGACAGTCATCAGCTAGGTCACTTCTACACACTGTTTATTTTTATAATGGAAAGCTACAAATATGAGTTTTCGATGATTTTATTAATTTCGCCGAGAATGTTTCCAAAACATCTCATAGTGGCATTTGTGATTTGAAATACGTTCCACGTTCTGTGACACATATTTGTCATCCGAAAGGCCAGTCACATGAGCGTTGCCTTGTTAGTTATACCGTTTATATATTACTTTATCCGATACATTTGGCAAAGATATCAGTGCTTTTTATTTCAAGCCTAAACCACTAACACTGGGGTTTTATCCGGTGAAGATAAATTCATTAAAAAAAAGTTTGCCAGATTTTTGCTGCGCAGTTGGATAAAAAAAAAAACAGCCCATGGTCTGAGGGTTACATGTGCTTCTAGGTTATTCCAGAGTGGAGTAGACGAAAAACTCATCAGAAAACGTACTGGTCATGTATCTAATGCACTTTATAAGAATGAAAAGGCCAGCGAAGGTCAAGCTAAACATGTTGGAAGCATTTTTAGCTCGGATCAAAGTAGTAATCAGAATAGTAGCCCTAAAGAGGAAAGTAAAAACGAATTTCCTGTAAAGGACATGACTGAAGAAAAACGTGTGGAAAAGAATTTTTCTATTTTCGAATATATCAAGTTTAATGATTGTGAGGTAAATGTGTTTGTAAATGGGGTTAAATAAGAAAATGAAGCACATTAAAAGTAAGGGTACTTGTAAGAAATCTTCATTGATTTTGTGCAAGGTGTCATTATAAATATTTTAGTGCATATTTATTTTTACCGGAGAGTGGTATGCTCTTTTTCATTGGGTATCCAAGCACATGCACGTGATGTGGTATAGATCTTGTGGTTGGTAGCTGACCTCATGCATTATGAATGAGTTTAAGAAGTACATGTGTCAAAACATGGTTTGACCGAGCAAAGATGCTAACAGTATTTTTAAGGAATCCCCATTACGTGATTTCTTTCAAGAACTTTCAAGATCAATTGGGTAGAAGGAGTTTATTATTGCAAGCATTTCCAACATTGTGGCAAGATATAATGGGATGTGTACCGCAAAGGTACTCATCGCCAATTCCAATGTGTGGCCTTGGATTTAAATCCTAACAGTGATGACGATCGACACTTGTTCGATCACCTTTTGACACATGAGGGATGTATGCTGTTTTTAATTCCCTCTTATCTCAAGCTAGACGTGAATTAATAAGGGTATTCTTGTAAAGTGTGAGGTGGAATTATCGTATCAAGCCTGAAAAATACGCAGACAAGTCATCGAAACTGTTCATCGCTTTATGAATGAAAAAGATATGGATCTTGACGAGACGGAAAACTCCTCTTAAACCGCCTTTTCAACGCTAAAAAGCCCTCTTTGGGATTATGTTCTGATTTCAATTCGCATAAGGCTGATGGTTCTGAACGATAGTTCTTGAGAATGTCCTTTTTCTATTTTACTAGACCGGAATATACTGGTAAGCATTCTGCAAATACCCTATGGCTTAATCGAGTCCAGTAAAGAAGAAACAATTCAACGAGGGACTTTTTTACAAACTCCAAACTTGTTTTGGAAGTACATGTTTGCAGTTTGCAGTCATGGCCAAAAACAGAAATCTATTTGAATCTCGTTCATTTAGGGTAGTGCCTCCTCTTTAGATTTTATGAGTTCACACGTTTCAGTGTTTCTCTCACATGTAAGTGTGTCATTTGTTCGGTTATAAGTTTTTTTTGTAAGATATCTATGATGTCTACGTAAGTTTTAAACGTTTCTTTTCAAATAACTAGCGAATTCCTTCCCCCCACTGATTCCACTAGATTTTCCTGAATACACCTCTTTTTTAGCGTTCCAGTTCTATAATACTTGCACCCTTCGATATTTTCAAGTAACGTCTTTTTCCGTCTACTTTTGGCCGATGAAAAAAACAAGTCTATGATTTTTCGCTGACTCTCATATCCATTTTTGGTGGACTTCCTGTGGACGTTCGTATCTGACGGAACTTTCATGGGTAAACGTTGTTTTGGCGGGCTTTTTCCTAGAAATAGAAGATTTGGCTGAAGAACATTGGGTGAAGGTACCTAACATTTCCTCGTTTGCATAGGTTCTTGTGTTTCAAGTGTCTTGTGATGTGTCTTCCTCAGCCCCTCAGACCACTCAACGTGAAGAGAACGAATTGGTGAAATATTTACCTATACCACGCGAACCTATCAAAGATAAAAATCTTCTGGAAGAGTCATACTTATCAGAGCAATCATGGTCTATCGTTTCCTTATATAGCTCTTGTATCTTCAACCCGATTTGTGAACCTTAGCTGTTTGACGACATAACACTTAACGACGTAGCACTGCCCTAACCAGACTTTCCCTTGTACCTTGTACCCAAAGCCGGTAGCCTGGTTTATAAACAGGTTTTATATTGGCTGTTTAATAGAAAGGCCAATCACCATGCTTTAACTTGGTCTCTACGTGACAGGTGTAATCTACACTTTCAGATGGGCTCTGAGGCGCAAGATCAGTTGTATTAACTAGAGGAGACCATGAACTATCGAGGGGTTGAAATACAAGAAATTCATACAAAGCGACAACACGTGTGTGTTGTTGTAAAGGAAGAAAGAAGAAGAGTTATACAGCAAGAGTGACTGAATTTAACCCTCTAACTCCCACGAGTGCTGAGACAAAATTTTTCTTTAGAACATCGATACAATATCAAAGGGATAACTAATGAGGATCCAAAAAAATATCAATAAAGGGATTAAATGTGGAACCGATACTAAATTCTCCAAATTAACGTCACAAGTATTTTAAAGCTGAGTAAGGAGAATTATTAATGAGATCTTAGGAGTGAAAGAGTTAAAGGAGCAGGTCACAAAGTTGAGACTACGATTCAGTAAATTAATGGTACAATAATGGCGTCTTCCTCCTACAAGAAGAGCTTAAAAAACGCAAATTCCACACAGCTAGGTAACTGCGTTGAAATTTTTTGCACCTGCCGCCATTTTGACTATTGTAAGAGGTATGAAAAATATCAGAAACCACACCCAGCATGTTTCCTTGAGAACTAACAACGAAAGAACATTTATTCAATAACAAAAGACGTTAATACTGTATACAGAACAAAAAGTTCCAGGGGGAGTAACAAGTGTTCTGTGAATTTCCGCTTGAAAAAGGGTAAGTAGCTGTAGATTATTGCCCATTTTTTATCTAACCTAGGATCTGGCAAGCTCAAAGACCTATTCAATAGAAGGTTGTTAGTTGAAGATACTTATTAAACAAACCTTGATGTCCACTTTTGAAAAATACGTAAACAGAAATATATTGATGGGTTATTAAATCTTGATTAATTGCCCATAGGCTGCCTACATGGTATCTTGATTTGCTAAAATAGAAAACCATCATGCTAAGCTCATGTAAGTTCAGGAGTCAACAATTCGCCATGCTGTTTGAAAATATGTAAAAAATCATTCTAATCCTTTGCTCTAACTAATTAATGAGTCAACAATTTGCCACAAGGTGCAATTAAGTGTGCGCAACTTGCACACGTGCGCTGAACTACTCGATTTGGACTTTTCCAGAGAGGACTGGAATTCTAAAGTATTATGGAAAAACTATTTGAGTCAATCTTAGAGTTTCAAGAGTAAGATGTAATGTTACTGGGGTTCAATGATTATCAAGTCAGATTCCAAAGTTGTCCCGCACGAAAGTCTTTCGAAAGCATTCAACTCTTATTGTTATTCTGCATTTCTATGTCTGATGTTGAACATCGGAGTAGCTCTACGTCCATAGTAGGAGAATTGTAACGGTAAAATTTATTTGCCGTCACGAATCACTCAATTTGCAGAGTTTCTGGTTCATACTTTCCTCTGACGATTTTAGGTTTTTGTCAGCATATAAATATTTGTGTCGTCAGCAAATAGGAAAAAAATCAAGTTTGTCAGAGGATTCATAGACATCATTGATACACACTAGGACCAGAAAAGGGTTAAGGCCTAAACCTTGCGGTACACCACAGGTAGTGATGGTTTTTGTGGATAGATGGGAATCAACTTGAGATGTATGGGTTTTTCCTTACAAGTAAGATGAAAACCATCTATTTATTACATCACGGAATCTAGATTGATATAGCCTCTGGAGGAAAATGTTATGATCAACAATGTCAAAAGCTTTTTCAGATCAACAAAAACTCCAAGTAAGAATAAGCGTTAGTCCATATTTGTCTGGATAGTGTTCATGATATCTAGAATTGAATACTGTGTTAAATACGCTTTACGGAAGCCATACTGAGAGGGAGAAACTAGTTTGTTTTGTTTGATGAAGGATTTTATTCTATTGTACATAAAGTTCTCAAAGATTCTACTAAAATTTGGAATAATAGGAATGAATCAGAACTTGCTTGCATCAGTTTTATTGTCAGCCTTAAGAATAAGTATAATCTCCACCATTTTTGGCTTATTTGGATATACTCTTGTGAGGTGGACAAATGTATAATTTTAGCAAGGATACACTAATTTCGTACCGTTACAAATTGGCTAAGTGCAGTCTTCTATTATTGCATTTGAAGTACACATTAGAGTGTCAAAAAAAACATGGCACTCAATAGAATGAAACAGAAAACTCGATGTGCGACTGCTCTTTATGGAACTGGGCGAAGCACGTAGAAGGAGTGCTCAGTCCCGCTATTATTCTATGATATAACTATTAGAGTGTCAGGAAGACATGGCGATTCAATTAAATGATAAGAAAAACTCGATGAATTACTGGTTTTGATTTGAGTCGCCTCAAGATGAAATAATTTCATTGATGGCACAAAGTTAAAAGAAATGGGAACCAAGAGAAGCACATGCTTATTTGTCCATAGAGTTTTATCTGGTATATGAGTTACAGAAAAGTCCGTGCTGCGTTCTTGCATGACCCACTGTTACTCTGAAGGTACCACTCAAGACATGATGAACAAACTAAAATCTTAAATATTTTGCTTTACAAAAAAGCATCAGTAAAGATTATGGACAAACTGGGACATGTTAATTACTACTTCTTAAGTTGTCTATCATTTTGGTTGTATAGCAGTGATACGGTCTCACTTTGATTTCTCACGGAGTATCAAATTACTCTTTGGGCAGTGCAGGACAATCTCTTAACCAATTATACCAAATCAGTGAGTTTGTGCAGTTTGTTTAGTTTCATCTTTTAAGCGATTAAAAAGATTGTAAACAGTTGAACCGATTCAGCTAGTTTGTGCATTTATAACGTCTGAGCTTAAATTATCATTTTACCAATTGAAACAATTCAGCTAGTTTGTGTATTTTGTGTAATTTAGCCACTTAAGCTAATTTCAGCTTCTTAACCACTTCAACGTATTAACCCTTCTAGCTAATTATTTAGCATTTCTGCCAGTTTAATCAAGTTAGTTTGTTTTTGACCGTTGTAGCAAGTTTTAGCATTTTAAGCAGTTGAACCAATTACCTAATTTGTGCATTTTGTGCGCTTTTATCGTTTTGTTTATTAGGACCATTTTAAGTCGTTAAACCAATTCACCTCCTTCGTTCATTTGCCAGTTTGTTACCCAATTTCAACCAATTCAAGTGATTCAGTAAACTTTTTGCATTTTGTTCAGCTCAATAATTTTTTGTTAGTTCGACAAATTTAAACAGTAAACCAATTTACCTCGTCTGTTAATTTTTTCCTAGTGTAACTCTTTGTGCTAATTTGACTATTTTAACCAATTTCATTAATTTGTCTAGATTAGGCGTTTTGTTCAGTGTCGCTGTCTCAGCGAGTTGGAGCATTCTAATTAGTTTATTAAATTTACCTAGTTTCTGCATTTTGTTCAGCTTATCTTTGTGAACTAGAATACAATATTAATCACTCCGGCCAACTCGGATAGTTCGTAAATTCTGTTCAGTTGTCATTTTCGTTATTTGGACCAGGCAGTTGAACCAATTTAGCTAGTCTCTGCATTCTTTGCAGCTTTAAAATTTTCAGTTAGTCTTGACCATTTGAAACAATTCAGCTTATTGTGGATTTTGTGCAGTTTCACCATGTTAGCAAGTTCGACCATTTACCTGTTAAACCAACAAGGTTCTTTGTGCATTATTTTTAATGTAACCATTTTTGCTAGT